ACACACCCCATGGCCTCCTGTGTTGTATTATTTCCATGTGATTCTAAGTCCCAGCCTCACAGATTACACCAGAATGGGTAATTTAATGATATCAACAGAGATAAATAATTAAAATTTTAAAGACTTAAATAAAATAAAATGCATAATATTCTTAGAATATTTTAACACATTTTGATTCTCATTTATTATTGTGGAATGAATAAAAAATTTGTTTTCAATATATATTGACATTTACAATATGGCAAAATTAGATTTCAATTAAGGTGGGAAAGTGCGTATTTTTGAATGGCTATCTCTCTGGGAGAATATGAAATTGGTCCCCTCACTCTGACATCGTACAAAAAACAGGGGTATTACATGCACCTTCAATGTAAGAGTAACCAATGAATTTTACATGGACATCTAGAGAACCACATATACAATTTAAAGGTGGCAAAACCATCTCCAATAAAGTAAGGACCTCGGAAGCAAAGATAGATATATTTAAATAAAATTAAAAATTGTTATATTAAAAAACTCCTCCAAATTTAATTGAGAAATAATGATCTGTAGAAATATTTTGAAATGCTGAAAACTTCAGAAAAATGGGCAAATAGTATATGGGCATATAATAATAATAGGCAAATGAAAATGGTGACCAACTATGTAAAGTTTGCTGAAACTGAGCAATAGTTTAAGAAAGCAAGGAATGCCTTTCACACCCATCAGCCTGGGAAAAAGTCTTAAAGAGCAGTCATACTGGTTGGAACTTTTAAACTAGTAGCAAAAGCTGTGCTCTAATTTTACTGGCAGAAACAGAAAGTGTTAACAAGATTGGAAAACCACCCAAAGACAGCTATAAATAAATACAAATAACTTTATTCTTTAACCTAGGTTTTCTCAGTCTTAATACTATTGATTTCCTGGACTAGATCATTTTCTGTTGCATGCTCCGTCCTGTGTATTGAAGGATGTTTACAGCATCCGTGGTCGCCACTCATCCAACACCAGCATGGAGGCAAAAATGTCCCTGGGCACTGCTTAGTGTGTCCCCTGGGGGAAAACTCCTCCCTG